ACAGCATCCCTTTATGTTCAAAACTCTAGAAAAACTAGGGATAACAGGAACATACCTCAATATTGTAAAAGCAATCTATGCTAAGCATCAGGCTAGCATCATTCTGAATGGAGAAAAACTGAAGGCATTCCCTCTAAAATGTGGAACAAGACAGGGATGACCTCTCTCTCCCCTTCTGTTCAACATAGTTCTCGAAACACTGGCCAGAGCAATTAGACAGACGAAAGAAATTAAAGGCATAAAAATAGGAAAAGAAGAACTTAAATTATCACTATTTGCAGATGACATGATTCTATACCTAGCAGACCCAAAAGGGTCTACAAAGAAACTATTAGAGCTAATAAATGAATTCAGCAAAGTGGCACGATATAAAATCAACACGCATAAATCAAAGGCATTCCTGTATATCAGCGACAAATCCTCTGAAATGGAAATGAGGACAACCACTCCATTCAAAATATCTTCAAAAAAAATAAAATACTTGGGAATCAACCTAACAAAAGAGGTGAAAGACTTATACAATGAAAACTACAGAACCCTAAAGAGAGAAATAGAAGAAGATCTTAGAAGATGGAAAAATATACCCTGTTCATGGATAGGCAGAACTAACATCATCAAAATGGCGATATTACCAAAAGTTCTCTATAGGTTTAATGCAATGCCAATCAAAATCCCAACGGCATTTATTGTAGAAATAGAGAAAGCAATCATGAAATTCATATGGAAAAATAAAAGTCCCAGAATAGCAAAAACAATGCTAAGCAGGAAGTGTGAATCAGGCGGTATAGCGATACCAGACTTCAAACTATACTGCAGAGCAATAGTAACAAAAACAGCATGGTACTGGTACCAAAACAGGCAGGTGGACCAATGGTACAGAATAGAGGACACAGAAACCAATCCACAAAACTACAACTACCTTATATTTGATACAGGGGCTAAAAGCATGCAATGGAGGAAGGATAGCATCTTCAACAAATGGTGCTGGGAAAACTGGAAATCCATATGCAACAAAATGAAACTGAATCCCTTTCTCTCGCCATGCACAAAAGTGAATTCACAATGGATCAAGGAGCTTGATATCAAATCAGAGACACGCCGTCTGATAGAAGAAAAAGTTGGCTACGATCTACATTCTGTGGGGTCGGGCTCCAAATTCCTCAATAGGACACCCATAGCACAAAAGTTAATAACTAGAATCAACAAATGGGACTTACTCAAACTAAAAAGTTTTTTCTCAGCAAAAGAAACAATAAGAGAGGTAAATAGGGAGCCTACACCCTGGGAACAAATCTTTACTCCTCACACTTCAGATAGAGCCCTAATATCCAGAGTATACAAAGAATTCAAAAAATTAGACAATAAGAGAACAAACAACCCAATCAACAAATGGGCCAAGGACCTGAACAGACACTTCTCAGAGGAGGACATACAATCAATCAACAAGTACATGAAAAAATGCTCACCATCTCTAGCTGTCAGAGAAATGCAAATCAAAACCACCCCAAGATACCATCTCACTCCAGTAAGATTGGCAGCCATTAGGAAGTCAAACAACAACAAGTGCTGGCGAGGATGTGGGGAAAAGGGTACACTTGTACATTGCTGGTGGGACTGCAGATTGGTGCAGCCAATTTGGAAAGCAGTATGGAGATTTCTTGGAAAGCTGGGAATGGAGCCACCATTTGACCCAGCTATTCCCCTTCTTAGTCTATTCCCTAAAGACCTAAAAAGAGCATGCTACAGGGACACTGCTACATCGATGTTCATAGCAGCACAATTCACAATAGCAAGACTGTGGAACCAACCTAGATGCCCTTCAATAGACGAATGGATAAAAAAAAAAATGTGGCATTTATACACAATGGAGTATTACTCTGCATTGAAAATGACAAAATCTTAGAATTTGCAGGGAAATGGATGGCATTAGAGCAGATTATGCTAAGTGAAGCTAGCCAATCCCTAAAAAACAAATGCCAAATGTCTTCTTTGATATAAGGAGAGTAACTATGATCAGAGTAGGGATGAAGAGCAGGAGAAGAAGATTAACATTTAACAGGGATGAGAGGTGGGAGGGAAAGGGAGAGAGAAGGGAAATTGCATGGAAATGGAAGGAGACCCTCAGGGTTATACAGTGGAGGGGGTAGAGAGAGAGGAGGGGAGGGGAGGGGAGAGGTGGGGAAGGGGGAGGGTGGAGGATGGGAAAGGCAGCGCAGCACAACAGACACTAGTATGGCAATATGTAAATCAATGGATGTGTAACTGATGTGATTCTGCAATCTGTGTATGGGGTGAAGGTGGGAGTTCATAACCCACTTGAATCAAAGTGTGGAATATGATATGTCAAGAAATTTGTAATGTTTTGAACAACCAACAATAAAAAATTAAAAAAAGAAAGAAATTGAGGAAGACCTTAGAAGATGGACAAGTCTCCCATGTTCTTGCATAAGCAGAATTAATACTGTCAAAAGGGCCTTACTACCAAAAGCACCATACAGATTTAATGCAATTCCTATTAAAATCCCAATGACATTCTTCATAAACATAGAAAAGGCAGTCATGAAATTCACTTGCAAAAATATAAGGCCCAGAATAGCCAAAGCAATCCTTAGCAAGAAAAGTGATACAGGAAGGATCACAATACCAGACCTTAAACTATATTACAGAGCTATATTAACAAAAACAGCATGGTATTGGCACCAAAACAGACATAAAGACCAATGGTACAGAATAGAATCATAGAGGCAAACCTACATAAATACAGTTATCTCATATTAGGCATAATCATACATTGGAGAAAAGTAGCCTCTCCAACAAATGGCGCTGGGGAAACTGGAAATTCATATGTAGGAAAAATGAAATTAGACCCCCATCTCTCAATCTGCACAAAACTTAACTCAAAGTGGATCAAGAACCTAGCCATTTAGCCAGAGACCCTGTACCTACTAGAATAAAAAGTAGGCCCAAATATCCATCCATGTTGGCTTAGGAAATGAATTTCTCAAAAAGAGTCCTAAATCACAATAAGTAAAATCAGGAATCAATAAATGGGATGGTATCAAACTAAAAATCTTTTTCACAACAAAGGAAACAATCAAGAATGTGAAGAGAGAGCCTATAGAATGGGAGAAAACCTTTGCCCCCTGAACATCGGATAGAGCATTAGTCTCCAGGATATATAAAGAACTCAAAAAACTTAACACCAAAAAACCAATAAGTCAAACAATAAATGGGCAAAGGAACTGAACAGGTATTTCACTGAAGAAAGACAAACGGTCGATAAATATATGAAAAAATATTCAAATCTCTAGCAAATAGAGAAATGCAACTAAACTACACTGAGATTTCATCTCACTCCAGTTAGAATGGCAATTATCAAGAATACATGTAACAATAAATGTTGGTGAGGATGTGGGAGGAAAAGGCACACTCATACATTGCTGGTGGGACTGCAAACTAGTGCAACCACTCTGGAAAGCAGTATGGAGATTCCTAAGAAAATTTAGAATGGAACCACAATTTGACTTTGTTATCCCACTCCTCAGCATATGCCCAAAGGATTTAAAATTAGCAAATGATAGTGATATAGCCACATCAATGTTTATAGCAGCTCAATTCACAATAGCTAAGCTATGGAACAAACCTTGGAGCCCTTCAAGAGATGAATAAATTAAGCAAATGTGGTACATATACATAATGGAATGTTAGTCAGCCATAAAGAAGAATGAAATTATGGCATTTGACAGTAAGTGGATGGAAATGGAGACTATCCTGCTAAGTGATATAAGCCAATCCCAAAAAAACAAAGGCTGAAGTTCTCTCTGGCATGGGAATGCTAACTCACAATAAGCAGCAGGGGGAGGGAAGAATAGAAGTTCACTGGATTAGACAAAGTGGAATAAGGGAGCGGGGGTATGAGAATAAGAAAGACAGTGGAATGAATTGGACATAACTTTCCTATATTCTTATATGAATACATGACCAGTGTAACTCCACATCATGTACAACCACAAACATGGAAAGTTATACTCTATGTATATAGGATATGTCAAAATACATTCTACTGTCATGTATAATTTAAAAAATAGTTTTAAAAATGTTCAATTCAACCCATAAATTTCTCTAGATGGTCAGGCAATCTATAGAGTGCTGGTTTCTATAAAATGTTCAGGATGTAATATCCATTGCTTCTAGGATTTTTCCTCAGCAGAAAAGATGGCTTCTACTATTAACTCCACTTGTCTGATATCTTGGTTTTCATGGGTAACCCAAAGTTAACAGTTAAAAGTGAGTAAACTAGGTTTAACATAAACAGGTTAATCTTCATAAATGTGTTAAAGGAGACTTCTGATTTATTTGCAAATTTAAAGTGCTAAAATATCAGCTGCTAAAAATAAATTCAAGTATTCTTCTTGAATTCCAAAAAGTAATATATATTGGTTTATTAAAGGTGTTTTTATAAATGGATACATGAAAAAAGTGTAAGATTGCCTTTTTTCTGGGTCTCCACTAAAAGCAAAGTTACCAAGAATTAAAATTCTAACAATTCCCAGCCATTACTTTAAACCACACAAAAAATTAGCATCCCGTAAATCCAACATCTAAGAATAAAACTATTTGGCCTGTGGTTTACCACATCTTATTTCCCTTTGTAAGTCCAAAGCCTGTGTAATGTGGGTGGTAGAGAGTGGAAACCTGCCCCCCTGTCCCCAGTCCAGCTCTGCTCATTAGGACATTATCTGTCCTAAATGAGAACACTTGTCCTTCTTCCTTTTCTTCAACCTGGAACACATAGATCTTTCCTATCAGAACAAAACAAAACAAAAATCACTGTCTGTTTTGAGCCTGATTTAGGTGCAATTTCTTAAATTAAATGCTTCATCTGAACACCAAATATTTCCTCATCTCATCCTTCAGAATTCTTCTAGGTGTCATTTATGGAACCACATTTGTGTTGGAGCTCTGACATTTTATTTTTGTACTCTGTACCTTTTTCTTAGAATGAAGAACTTCTTGAAAACCAGGACATATCCGGAAATAACTCAATTAGGAGTCGAGTTGTACAAATCCGGGAACAAGGAAACACCAAACAGGTAGAGCTGGACGGTGGTTGAGGGACTCATCACCATGGTAACAGAGCTGGGGATGCAGCTTAGTCGTGGAATGCTTGCCTAGCATACTTGAGGTCCTGGGTTCTATTCCCAGCAATAAAATTTAGAGAACAAATCCAAGAAAAAAAAAATCAATGACTGACATCTTGGAACTTAGACTGTTTTTATGGAAAAAAAAAAAAAAGTCACATTCATGTGTTGAAAGAAAAGTGACCACAACACTCAGAGCAACCAAAAGATCTTTATTGCAGCAATGCAACAAAGAGAAAAGAAAGAAGGAAAGAAGGAGAAAGAGAGAGAGAGAGAGAAAAGAGAAGAGGAGAGATGAAGAGGGAGAGAGCAAGAGCAAGAGAGAGACAGAGAGTGCGCAAGAAAGACAAAGAGAGCAAGAGAGCAAGAGAGAGGGGGTCCTGGCAGGAGGGAGGTTTTATAGCCCAAATCTAATGGGGCCTCTGGGTCTGCAAGCTGCCTTGTTGGCCAAAGGGGGGGTTATGTGTTCAACCTTGAGCGGGGATGAATGTTCAGACTTGAGGCAAACAGGTGATAAAGACCAGATAGAGGGGGGTTTGAGTGCGTGGGCTATCTTGCAGCCAACATCTGTTCAGCCTGCCCTGCAGACAATACAGTTCAGCCTGCTCTGCACCCAACATTCCTCCCTTTTTGTTTTTCTAAGTGACATGGGGAGGGCGTAAAGTCCTCTGGCTACTTCGTGCTTAATGGTGGGCGGCGTTGGACCTAGAAGGGGAAGTGGAGGAATGTTCGAGGGACAGGTCTGAGAACACCAGGGCAGCCAGAAATAACACTCAGTGGCTACAGACAACTACTGTGGTAAGGGTAAAGTCCATAAAAGTTCCTTGAAGCCACAAATCCTCGATGGCATCAAACCAGTCCTGGATGGAGGAGATTCTTGGTATCAGCCACTGGTCCTGTAGCAGGGACTCTAGGAAGTATTGGAGGTGGCTTAGTTGAATCCAGTAATGTTAAGGGTGACAGACCGATTGCAGCCGGTGGAAGGGCAATTGCCTTGACCCATAAACTGAGAGTGGGTGGTGTCATCCTGGTGTCATGTCACTTGGATGTAGAAGCGGTATCTGTGGTTTGAGATAAAAACTTGAGAGAGATTAATGATTAGTAAAAGAAGAAGAGGATTGGTGAGAAATTTTGAGTTTGGTGGGTGGGGTGGAAGTCCAGGACTGGACATTTAGAACAAGTGCCTTTTTAAGGTGGGAGACATGGTACCAGGGGGAGTGGCCCAAAAGCTTGGCCACCATTGGGGTAGTAACTATGACTGTATGGGGTCCCATCCATTGAGGTTCCAATGATTGAGAATGCAATTCCTGAAGTAAGACTGAGTCACTCAGTTGAAGAGGGTCCAATTCAGTTGGTGGTTGTGCGGGGATTGAGGCAATGAATGGAACAGGAAGGCACCGGTCTGTATGGTCTCTTAGGAGTTTGCATAGAAGTGTGAGATTAGGCAGGTAGGACACAAGGGGAAGAGGAGTGATTGGAAAGCTTTGGTTGATTAAGAAAAGGCACCCAGAGAGTAGCTCAAAGGAGCTAAGGCCTGAGGGAGCTCTTGGGGCTACCTGAATTCAGGTGAGGGCCAATGGCAGGAGATTGGGCCAGAGGAGCCTGAGTTCAATAGCATGTTTAGTGAGATGATCCTTGAAAATGCCATTAGGCTTCTCAACCTTACCCAAGGATTGGGATTGGTGGGGGATGTGGAGCCTCCAAGTGATGTTGAGACCTTTGGAGACTAGTTGAACAACCTGAGAAGTGAAGGCCAGACTGTTGTCTGACTGGATGGGAGTGGGAAGTTCGAACCTGGGAATGATCTGCTGGATGAGGATGGAGGTGACAGTGTCAGCAATTTCCCTGGATGTAGGGAAGGCATCTATCCAACCTGAAAAAGTATCAACTAATGTAAGTAGGTATCAAAGCTTTTTGTGCCTAGGCACATGAGTGAAGTTGATCTACTAGTCTTTGCCTGGCTAGTGGCTCCTCATCTGAGGTGTGGGGAATTTAGGTTTGATGCTTCCTTGTGGGGATACTGTAGAGCAGACAGAATAAGCAGAGTGGACCTGCTGGAGAGTAGTTCTCATTCCTAGGAAGTGAAAGAGTGGTTGTGAAAACTGGAAAAGGGGGTTAGAGAGGGTTTTAGATGGGCACAGAGTCTCTGGAGCCAGAGGAGTTGGTCATGAGTCGTAGTTCTCCATCTTGGGCATCAGGGCTGGTAGTCTTAAAGGAGTAGTTGATTGACTGACTTGTTGGTGAATTTGTGTATCTGATCTTGCAGGAACTTCTGTAGACAATTGAACATACATGGTCCTATTAGGAGAAACATAAAGAGGACTAATAGGGGTCCTGTGAGGGGGAGGAGCCAAGGCCATACTTGACTGAACATTCCCCATGGAGCCTGTTGGCTTAGTTGCTGTCTCCTCTTTTCTAGCTGTTCTTGTCCTTTATTACTCCCAGGAATGACTGTGTTTGGGCTTAACTGGTTTTGGTAGGTGTTTAAGATCAAGCTGGTCAAAATTGACTTTGTTTCTATCTATTGTTAAGAGTCAGCCGAGTTCCCATAGGGGTCACTCGTGGGGGAAGCTGAGAGCAGCTTCTTAGTTCTGCTAGTGCCATTTGTGCTAGGATGAGTCCAGGTCTTGCTTGACCATGTGGCTTGCCTTGGAAGCATCAGGGATGTCTCCTGTCTCCAATGACCCTTCTATTCACAGCAAATGCACTGATTGGCTTTTCATTCTCCAGTGGTCTCATTAATCTCCCTGATCAGGAGGTTATGTGGCCCAGAGTTGCCAAGCTCTTTAGAGAAATTCCCTGTTCCCTGGATTCAGACTGATTCAGAGGGCCAGAGCCAAATATTGGTTTTCTTGGCCATTTTAATTTAACTTTAAGTCTTGATTATAAACATCCAGCAAAGTCAGTTTCACCCTAAATTAAGAGTATTGGGCTTTAGCTGAAGTCTGGCCTACTTTGGAGTCATTCTGACATGTAGTAAAATGGGAAGCACAGCCTTATCTCAGGTAAGGCTAAGATTTATAAATCTTAGGTAAAGTGTTCTACTATCGAACTGATCTTTGTTTTTAAATATCATTTTATAAAGTTTATATATGTTGTTGCTTGATGTCACATAATACTAGGTAATACAGTATATTACATTTAAATTGTACCCAGTGTATAGAACTTTATATTAATCTTATTGATAACAGGTCCAGTTATAGAACATTAAATGATATAAATAAATCTCCAATATGTTATTTTTATAAGCCTAAAATAACCATGCAACCTTTTGGAGAACACCAGCTTGATATAATTTTTTTTAAAGCTTCTATCTTAATGACATACCTGGAAAATATGAACACTTTTAATATACAAAGAAGAGTAATAGTACCACAATTATTATTGATGTTTTTATATTAATCAAGTTTAGCTTTTAAAGAAATAACTTATTACAATATTGCAAAATAACAGTTGTTGTTTAACCATAGTTGTATACACAAACCTTCTTTAGCACTTACTTACACCTATATAGCCAACATACACAGACCTTCTTCATCACTTGCTTAAACCCTCTTATTTACTTAATAGACTCTCTTATCCAGAAACACATTTTCCTTGTATTAAATCCATACTTAGAACCTTCTAATTTCTCTTTCCTATCTGTTAACTCCTTCTTTATTCACACTTTGAAACAATCCTTGTAAATTTCTGAATTTAGGCAAATTATTCCATTTTAATAAGAGATATTTTGTTATTTGCAGCACACAATTAATCACATCTGTTGACCATTTCATGAAAACATGAACAATGTTTAAGTATATAGAATTATACTGTTGTAGGGACGGACAAGGAAAGGCACCTAAGATAGCACTGAAGATAGAGAAATAGTTTTATTTGGTTGCAGCCAGATTCAGAAGGCACAGCTTCTGTTGTAATCAATTAATCCCCTGAACCCCAAGTTTAGGTTGTTTCAAAATTTTGTACCCAACATGTAAGGGAAGGGGCTCAGAAGTTCACAGTCTGCAGAAGTTCACAAAAAGCAGTTTTTGTGTGTTTGTGTGTGTGTGTGTGTGTGTTCTGGGCAAGTTAACCGACACACCTTTCTCTCCTACCCCGCCCCCCAGCTGTTATCATGGAGCCCAGTTGGTAACTTCCTTATCTTAGAAATGTAGCCTTCTCTGTGAAGCCCCAGCTCAAGGCCACAGGCCTTGTTTACATATTTTGTGAAAAACTAGTAAGGGGGTGTCCAGCGCCTGGAGTGCTGATTTTTCCAGACAGTGGCCAAGTAAAACAGGGCAACAGGAAAATAGGAAGTTTATCTACATTAAACTTTTTTGTAGAGATTCTTTTGCTGAAAGTCCTAACATCAGCCGTGGTGAAGATTTCTGGAGAAGGTCAGTTAAGACTTTTCTGTGGGCCGGGGTAAGGAGGGGAAGACGGGAAGGCAGCTCAGTGGATCTGAGAATGAGGAAGGAGTGATGTAAAAGAATAGGATTTTCCCTAGCAAGGAAAACTTGAGCAGTAGAACAGGTAGAGCAGAGGGGAGGATGGGAGTGAATATCCCAAAAAGCCTGTAAGGGACAATTCTTAGTAACCTGTTTTCAGTGATGACAAAGCAACTTTAAAGGCCATTTTCACCAGATCTCTGATAGGGGTCCAAGGGCTCTCCTCAGTTTGTTTGAGCTTTGGGTTAGCTGGTAAGAGGACCTGGTGGGACCTGGTGTGGGCGCTGACAGAAGAAGAGAGGAGTGAGTGGGTGGAGGGATTCCTTCAGTACCTGCTACCTCAGAAAAGAGGCAATGGTTTGAGGAAAGGCAGTTGTTTAGGTTTTTGATCTAGTGAGTGGAAAGAAGTCAGGTTGTTTAGGTGGGGGAGACAGTGGAGGGGCTGGGGCAGAAGGTTGAGGGTGAGGACCTATTTGAGCTGGGCGATAGGGTGGAAATTCATCAGTAGGGTCAAAAGTAGTGGATGAGTCCAGAGGAGGAGGAGATTGGGGATCAGTGGTTGTGGGTGTTGGTTTGCAAGCTAGAAGAATTTGCAGAGGTCTGCAAGAGGTGCAGAGAGCACAAGCAAGAAGAAAACTTTGATATAGCAGATTTTTACCCATTTTTTCGAATGCTCACAGTAATTGTAGAGACCCCTTAGAATGGAGGGATCCAGGGACCCAAAAGGGGGGGGGGCATCTGCTTTGGTTGTCTAAGGGATAAGTGGGCCAGGCCTGGGTGCTATATTTGATCAGTTTTTTGGGTTTGATGTCAGGTGTCAAGGAGAGGGTTTTGAGGTTATCCAAGAGACATTGTAGGGGAGAGTCGACTGGCAGAGAGGATACATTACCCATGTCGCAAAGTAGTATAAGGAGGAGGGAAGGGGACGCAAACGTAGTATAAGGGAGAAGGAAGGGGACACAAACGTAGTATAAGGGAGAGGGAAGGAGACGCAAAGATAGTGTAAGAGAGAAGGAGGAAACTGGTTTATTGGCAAAAGGGGCATCCCCGCTAGAGCCAAAAATCAGCAGTGCCTTAGTGGCAGGTTTGAGCTGCAGGGTTTGGTTGTCACCGAATCCTGACAGTCGAAGATCTCATCCTGGACAGAGCCGGAGCTGTGGGAGACCTTGGCCAAGGCTTTTTGGGACCCCTCCTGGAGAGGCCGGATACTCCCAGGGCCGGAAAGAGGGGAAAGAGAGAGACAGGGGAAGAGAGGGGAAGGGGAGGGTAAGGTTTTCCTCTTGAAGGTGTGAGGACTAGGATTTTAGGAGAGCCACTGAGACGGTGAAGGTCTGGGTGGACTGTGATGTTCAGTTCTCTGTTATGTGTCCCTGGAGGTTACAGAGTCCTTCAAGGAAGACCTACAAAGCCTATGCTGGTAAACTACCATCTGGGAAGGGAAGGGAATAAGTTTGAACCCAGGAATCTAATCTGCCCTAGGAAGGAGTCCCTGAGGGCCACTGTAGCCTTAAAGGCTGTGGTGGAGTGTTTGCCTCCCGCAGGTGGGCAAAGAGGTTTGCTGGACAATCAACGGTCAAATCCTCCTGACACCACCATTGGGTTTAGGACTCCAGGAAAGGGAAACTCACCAACCGAAGGTCGGTGGTGGATGGAGTTCTGGCAACCAAGAAAATGGGTTCAGGCCATCCAGTGAGTGGCACTTCCGAAGGAAGAGGGACCCAAAAGTGGGTTTTAACCCTCTAACCTGGTTTCAGCACCAAATGAAAGAAAAGTGACCACAACACTCAGAGCAACCAAAAGATCTTTATTGCAGCAGTGCAACAAAGAGAAAAGAAGGAAAGAAGGAGAGAGAGAGAGAGAGAGAGAGAGAGAGAGAGAGAGAGAGAGAGAAGAGAAGAGAAGAGGAGAGGAGAGGAGAGGAGAGGAGAGATGAAGAGGGAGAGAGCAAGAGCAAGAGAGAGACAGAGAGCGCGCGCAAGAAAGACAAAGAGAGCAAGAGAGAGGGGGGCCTGGCAAGAGGGAGTTTTTATAGCCCAAATCTAATGGGGCCTCTGGGTCTGCAAGCTGCCTTGTTGGCCCAAAGGGGGGTTAAGTGTTCAGCCTTGAGAGGGGTTGAATGTTCAGCCTTGAGGCAAACAGGTGATAAAGGACCAGATAGAGGGGTGTTTGAGTGCGTGGGCTATCTTGCAGCCAACATCTGTTCAGCCTGCCCTGCAGACAACACAGTTCAGCCTGCTCTGCACCCAACATGTGTCATCTATATTAAGATTATACTGTCCCTTTTATTAGGTAGCAATGTATCTCACTTAATATATTATAAAAAGTGTTTGTGCCGCTAATTATTCTTCCATAAACAAAAAAGAAAACTACTTAAGTCCACATAAAAACTTGCACACAGACATTTATAACAGCTTTATTCATAATTGCCAAAACTTGGAAGCAGACGTCCTTCAGTAGGAAAGGGTAAATAAATGTGGTACATTGAGACAACAAAATGTTTTTCAGCACAAGAAAAAACTATCAAACTATGAAGAGAACTGGAGGGATCTTAAATGCATGTTACTGAGTGAAGGAAGCCAATCTGAAATGGCTACATACTATACCATCCCAAATATAAGGTATTCTAGAAAAGACAAAACTATGGAGAGAGTAAAAAGATTAATGGTTTATAGGAGTTGGGGAGACGAGAAGGATGAATAGGAGCATTTTTAGGGCAACGAAGCGATTCTGCACGAAGCTACCATGGTGAGTATATGTTAGTTGCACAACGATAAAAGTGCATTTAAATGTAAACTGTGGACTTTGGGTGACAACGATGTGTCAATGCTGCTTCATTAGTTGTAACAATAATATACACTTGAGCCATCTTTCGTGGACACTCAAATGTTATAGTCTGGAGGCTGTGTAAAGATATATGGGAAATCTCTGTACTTTCACCTCAGTTTTGCCATGAACCTAAAACTACTCTAAAAAGTCTACTTTTAAAAAAAAATTATTTATCTATTTTACAACTATAATCAGAAAAGTGAAGACTGAGGAATAGCTACTGGATTTGGCAAAGTGGGCCCTGTTTGACTTTGCAGAAGCTGGTCAGTAGAAATATAATCACAGTGGTTCTGCAGTGAACAGGAAGTAGGGAAGTGGTCATGAAAAGTAAAGGCAACCCTTTGCAGTGGCCAGACAGGGAAGGGACAACTCTTTGCAGGTAGGGAAGGTGCAGGGCAGATGCCCCATGATTGTAGGGGTCAAGGGGGTTTTGGTGTTGTGTTTTTAAAAAGATAAGAAAGTATTGAAAAAAGAGAAAAGGATACTAATGCTGGGCTTTGCATAAAGAGTAGATAACTTGGGACACTGTCACTGCAAGAAAATAAAAACCATCTGACAATTGTTAGCCAAACTTTGAATATGGGTGAAGCTAGATCTTAGAAGGAAATAAAGAAATAAGAATCATCTCTACCCCTGTTCTTAGCATTTTCAGTTTGGACTCAGCTGGTCCTTCTTCAGGTTTTGTTCTCCCCTTCCTAGTTTCTGGGGTCCATCCCAGAAAATGAGTTAATCTGAATCAGAAGTATAACAGAATTTGGCATTAGAGGACGGAACGGACCTTTTTCTTTCTTTCATTTTAGTCCTGGGGCCTGAACCCAGAGATACTCTGCCACTAAGCTGCAACCTCATTTGTTTTTTGTTTTGTTTTTGTTTTTAATTTTGAGACAGGGTTTAAGTTACCCAGGTCTGCCTTGAACTTGTGATCCTGCACTAGCCTCCAAGGTCACTGGGATTATAGGTTTGCATCACCTCGCCCAGCAGAGCTATGTGATCATTGAAGATTCATTCTTTTAAGAAGCATGCTAACAATTTATAATATAAAGTACAGAGAATCAGAGGCCACAGTGGTTTTAACACATGACAAAAGCTGAAATTTGACACTCTATCTCTTGGTGCATGTTCAAAACTGTTTCCACATCTGTATACCCCTCACCGCAAGCTTCCATGCTGTTTGTTACAACAGCCAGACCTATCAGATGAGACATTATTGCAGAATGGGAAAAGGGAAAAAACCTTCTGTGCCTTCCTGGGAATAAGATGGTTTGTGGATATTTGGGAGCTGTACCTAGAAAGAGAATCCACGAAAGATGGCTCAAATATATACTGCATTCCACTAATTAAAGCAGGCCTTGCTGGGTAAGGGAAATATTAATATCCCCCTTCAACCCAAATGATAGAAGGATGTTATGTCCCAAGGGAACATTGGTTTGTCATCTCTTGAAGATGCTGAGCTAGGATTCACCTCTGCAGACCAAGCAGTGAGCTTGCCAGAAAACTAAAAGTAGTTTTGGTCTTAGTTCTTCGGAAACTGGAGCTGGTATAGTATAAAGGGAGATTTATGCAGCCTCTGATATTAAACTTCATTTAACTCTTGCCTGAAAACAGAACTGGTGTTGAATAATTACAGTAGAGACAGGAGGAAAAGCAGAAAGATGAGCCTGTTCCCATAAGGAAAGAATGCCAACGGCTCCTTTGGGAGGAAAGCGAGAGATAAGTGTGATCCTGAATTTCTCATAATTATAGGAGGAAAAAATGTCTATGCAGTAGATATTAGGAGCCATATTCTTGCATAAAAATTTAAAAAGACCTATTGGAAATTCTTGGTCATAATTCTGAGCAAAGGAGACACAGTCCATAATGCCTAGTATTTTTTTTTTATTTCATCTCAGCTCTAATGATTTCCAGGGTGAAGAGCTGGTCAACATTGAGCAGGATTCTCTAAGGAAAGAAGAAGGAGAAGACATGGAGGATGACCAGGACACACATCAGAAAGGGTAGAGCGTTTAAACTAGGGAATAATAATGCCTGGGCTCCTATTTGTATAAGTCCCTTTGTTTTATCCCCTTCTAAATTTTAACACTTGTTATGATTTATTAGAAACTGTCACCACTCCCATCCCCACCCACGCAACACCATTTTCAGAAAAATTAATGGAGCTCTAGGATGATCGATGTAGTCAATTCAGACGGCTGATGTTCTGGGAACCCAATATCTAGATTTAAATTCACCCAGGACAGTCTTCTAATTAAAGGTGCAAATTACCAACTAATCGCTCTAGTCCATACAAAAGTAGTTAATTTATCTTCTCAATGTCAATCAATAACAATCAATTTCTCAAAACTCAATCCACTTTAAATCTCAACAAACTGTTGCTCTTACTATGTATCCCAAGGTTCCTACCATAATGTAGGAGAGGCAAGATTATTACCTTTAATTTTGGGACCAGGAAAAAAGCTCAGAGAAGTGACCTACCTAAGGTCAATAAGCCAGAGAAAAACAGAACTAACTTGGAATTTCAGCCTTTGATCCCTAGTCCAAGATTGTCTGGTACTCTTATGATAACACTATAATATTTATCCATTTTGGAAATCCCACATAAATTTGATTTAAAATTCTACATCTCTGAAAGAATATTTTTCCCTATAATGGGAATTGAACCCAGGGGCACTTTACCATGAGCTACATCCCATCACTTTTAATTGTTTATTTTGAAAAATTGTCTTGCTAAGTTGCTGAGGGTCTCGCTAAGTTGCTGAGATGGGTCTCAAAATTATGATCTTCTTGTCTCAGTCTCCTGAGTTGCTGGAATTACAGGGATGTGCCACCTTGCTGGGTTTGAGGAATATGATTTTTATATATAAGAAGGTATCTATAGAATCAGTCAGAATTAGAGTTGGGAGGTCTTGTCACATATAAACCATCAAGAATATTAACCACCAGAAATTGAATTTCATCCTTTATTTTACTTTATGATTTTTTGACCCAGAAGGGGCTGAGAAATTCTCATGGTCAGATATACTCAGGTTTCACTGTGTTATTGATACTGAAATAACCACCAGGCATTTGGAAATTGTTCAGCCTAGATAAACCAAATAACCTAAGTGTGTTTCTCCAACCACTCTGCTCTGTGGAGTCAGGTTGCTATAATGAACAACACACATCCCCTACAATTAAAAATAAAGTCAACCTACAACAGACAGATGTACCCTATTAAATGTCACTTTCTGTCACTGATACTTTTTTTTAAAATACCATATCCACAACTGAGGGTGGATATTATTAGCTTTTCCTAAAATAGATCATGAAAAACATGGTATTTATTCTACTTTTATTCACCCAAGATCTTCCAAGGCATTTCTAATGCTCAGTACTCATATTCACACACACATCACAATGAGAGTAACATGCAATAATACCCATCATTATGACTGATCTATTCTGATACTTCCTATTCAGAAAGACTCTCATGATTTACCATATTTTACCACATAATCTTCAGATTTTATGTGAAAATTTTTTGCAAAAAAAGTGTGGTACAATTGTTACATGAAGCTTTTAAAAGAAATTGTGCTGCTATTACTTACAAATGATTTATTACTAAATTGTCTTTGGTACAAGATTAAGTTGCACAGAGTTCTCATGAATATACGTTACTGTGGTGGCGACAATTCTGCAGTGAAATATGGGTTATCTCAGCTTTTAGTTAGTTACTCATCTTCCCTGCTCTGTTCCCAGGAACATGTTTTCCACATCTAATTCCTCAGGGTTTGGCACACTCAATTCTGTGAAGATTAATCCAACCCATGGCTGATTTTCATCTAAAATGAAATAAATTTCCCATTTCTATTTTGTAAGACATATGCCTTGTGAATGTTTGTTGTTTTCTTGCTTGCTTTATAAAGATTAATCTAGCCTTAGCATCACGGTTTATTTCATGCTTACTTCTCTCTGCCTTTTTGCTTTTGTGTTCCAGGTATTTGGAAAGGAAGTACGATACAGTTTATGATTTTTATAAAAAACACAAAACTACTATTCGATACATCATTTGGGGCATTTTACTGACAGGTAAATACCAAAAAGCAATATAAATACCATTGTATACAATAGAATAGGTAATTTATAAAGAATAGAGGTGTATTTAGCTCACAGTTCCAGAGGCTTGAAGTCCAATGTCAAGATGCTAACATTGGCAAGGACCTTCTTTGTGCAGCATAATGTGGCAAAAGGAACCCTAATTTGACACAGAGTATGCATGCTAGCCTGTTTCTCTGTTCTTCTTTTTATAAAACCACTAATGTCACAAGGGGGCCCCACCATCAGACTTCATCTAATCCTAACTATTAACATATGAATTTGGGCATTAAGTTGTTAACTTTAGGGAAAACATTCAAACTTTAGCATCTACCCTGCTCTGGGGGCTCACAAAGACTTTGTTATTGTGATATGGATTTGGAGAGGTGCACTGGTTAATCCAAATCTGGAAAAACTTGAGTAACTGGCAGGAACAGTGATGGTCACAAAACAAAAACCTACTTGTAGCAGGTGAATACAGGATGTAGAGTCTAGAGCCAACTAGCCCACTCCTCTTGCCTGAAGGCAGAACCAGAATGTCTCCTGCTTTTACTCCCTCCATATCCCATTTTAAAGAACACTCCTGCTGGGGCAGTGGCACACACCAGCAATTCTAGCAAGCAAGATAACAAGGTTAAGCAAGGCTCAAAATAAAAAGTAAAAATGCTGGGGGTATAGCTCAGGAGTAGAGCACCCTGATTTCAATTCCAAGTACCAATAAATAAATAAATAAGAACACTCTGTCTACAAAATGTAAATGATCCCACTCAAAACTATAGACATTAATCCAAGATTGCTGTACCACCAGTGTCACAAGTGTCACTGGTTCTCAGATAGCTGAAACAGGAAACAGGAAAGTTGATAATCTTTTCCTGTAGCAGGTTGTACTTTAGGCTTGGTGACATATTATACATACTATCAAAACAATGCAACTCTGCCATTGTGGTTAAAAAAATTAAAAAAAATAAAAACAGGCAGACAATATTTAAACAAACATAGCTTTGTTTCAATAAAACTTTATGTATAGAGTACAAATACAAGAAAACAATGTATTTGTACTTGCCACCTACAAAACAAGGAGCAGACCAGCAGACTGTAGCTTGCTGACCTTTAAAAACAGGGACCTTATTCTCATCTGAGAATCTGCTTCTTCAAAAGCCTGCTCTAGTCATTGCTCCCACTCTTTTCCTTAGAAATACTGTAGCACTTAGAGATTGTTGGTAGGTTTATTTCCCTACTCAAGCTTAGGCCAATTCTAAGCTGCAAACCTAGAAAACCAATACCTCTCTGTCCAGTGTTGCTTTAATACTTAAACTTTTTCTGATAGTAGCTCACCTACTGAATCTGAATGGGGACGGCGGGAGAGTAAAAAGAGAGAAGCTAAATCGTTGAGCATCAGGATTCAAGAATTAAAGTCTGTAAGAAAATAAATAATACCCTTTCTGTGACCAGAATCAAGTATCTGGGCTGCCTCTCACTGGGTACTAATATTGGAGAGATGAGTGTTGGCAAAAAGAAATCAGGTTTATTCAAGGCCAGCCCTGAGGAAACCAGAAGGCCTAGGTCCTCAAGGTTGTATCTTTCTTGGTTTCTGGGCACCAGGGGTTTTTGTGGGAGGGAAGGAAGCAGTGAGGCTGCAGTCTGGACAGTCCTCTTCATTGAGGGAGTTGGCTAACATCGAGGTAGAGCTTCTCTTTAGCCAAAGGATTAGGGACAAGTAGAAGGGCAAAAGGGAAGAGGAAGCCCCTCCACATTTCCTCCTAGACTTCATGGTGCGAATAGTAGGGATTTGTTTTGAAATAAATAAGTTAATAATAACCTCCCCCAGAGGAGCCAGTACCCACGTAAAATTGAGTTCAATTCCAAGTACCACTGGTTCTTGATTAAACCTCCCCTTCGCCAGATCAAGGCTGGAAGCTGGGGCCCAGCTGGCTTCAGTGATGGTCATAGTCTGTGTTTGCCTCCTGGACAGGTTACCTGGCTTTGGTGATTGCAGCCTGTGTGCTGAATTTTCACAGAGCGCTTCCTCTTTTTGGGATCACCGTGGCTGCCATCTTCTTCATTGTCTGGGATCACTTGATGGCCAAATATGAACATCGAATTGATGAGATCATATCCCCAGGCAAAATGCTGCTGAACAGCCACTGGTTCTGGCTGAAGTGGTAAATGCAATTGCTTCTCTTATTGCAATTAAGAGAGATATTCTTTTTTTCCAACACAATTCCAAAAATTTGTTCTAAAATTGCTTCCTCATTTATGGGATATTGAAGCTAGAAACAAACCTTGGGAGCAATCCATTATGATGCCTTCATTTTACAAATAGGAAATCAAGGCCTAGATGAGATGATGACTCGTTTGAAATGTGTTCAAGCATCCCTACAATCAGTAGCCTTAATTTCAAGTTATACTGAATGATAAAATGTGGTCCAAAAAAACATTAATTTAATAACCTTCCAAGTACTGCATTAGAGAGACACCTACATATCAAAAAGTGGTTAAGAGTATAAGATAGTACAGGTTTTAGTCATTGCACCAATAGTGTTAGGTCTTCCTAGCACTTTTCAATAGCATGGCCTCAGGGTCAATTAGTAGGATCTGTCCTGGCATGGGTCAGGGAACAGCAACATGAAATCTAATCTCAGTACCTGTTTAAAGACTTTATTCATAAATACAAAATGAAAAATATAGGTTTTTGTTTGTTTTGTTTTGTTTGCAGTATTGGGAATCAACCAAGTCTAGTACATAATAGGCATGTACTCTTTCACTGAGCTACACCCCTGGCCAACACCATTTTCTTACGCAAGTTATTTTTTTGGGGGGGTGGTGTATGTTTGTTTGCTTGTTTGCTTTTGTGGCACTAGAGATGGAACCCACGGCTTTGTACACACTGAGCTATGGCCCTAGCCCCACAAGTTATACATATTCCTAATACAACTTATTTATCTTATTTACAAAATACATTCAATCATGATTTTTTTTTTAGTTCCTCTATGGTTGAACATTTATTTTATTTACAATTTTTTGCTTTTTACCTTTTTTTTTGCAGTACTGGGGATTGAACCCAGGGGGTGCTCTGGTGCTCTTCCACAGAGTTCCATCTACAGCCCATTTAATTTTTTAATACTTTGATAATAGCTCACCTACTGAATCTACCAGAGTAGATTGCCAAGTAGTTGCCAAGCCTTAATGATCAAACTTGTGATCCTTCTGCCTCAGCCTCTGAGTCACTGGGATTATAGGCATGCACTACTACATCCAGAAATTTTTTGCTACTGTAAATGTTATGATAAGCATAAACCTTTCTTTTTTAATCTATTTTTTGTCTAACCAACATATTAAAATCATGACCCACAGATTGTAATGAAAATACAACAATTTTTTCATCCATCATTCTTTCCATTTTATTCAATGGGAACTATCTATCCCATATTTTGTAATGCCAAAACCTCACGCCCCTTCTGCCCACTCTTAGTTAATAATCCAATGGTTACAGAAGTATTTTTTTAATATTTATTTTTTAGTTGTAGTTGGACACAATACCTTTTTTTTCTTTACTTATTTTTATGTGGTTCTGAGGATTGAACCCAGGGCCTTGCACATACGAGGCGAGCGCTCTACTGCTGAGCCACAATCCCAACCCCAGAAGTATTTTTAATATGAAGCTGTCCCAGCCCATACAATAATGAAAACTAGGAAGGCAGCCAAGATTCTATCTTACCATCCCAGATTTGGCTTGTGTTTCTCTTTTCTCCTTGTTTTCTGCTTCTCTACCAACCTCAAATCTAGGGATCAGGCCAGGACAGTTCCAACTCAGGGAGGTGGCTTCCTGCTCTGGGCAGGAGACCCTCCTCCTTGGAGGAAGGGCCTTATGAATTGCCAAAGCCCACTCTCCTCTAGGACGCACTTCCTTCAGTGACCACTATAGGCTTTTCCTTCAACTTTTCTTTAGAGGATCTCCTCTCCTTCCAGGTGGCCCTACTGGGTTGTTCCCAGGACCTCTCTCTCCATAGAGACCCCCCCAAGGATTCTAACAAGAAACTTCATACATCCTTGGCCTAATAAATCAGGATTGTGCAGTCCCAACATAGCAAACAGCCTTTCCGGTTCTGCCATCAAAGCAATGAATCAGCCTTGTCATGCCCATTAGACTCCCCAGGGAGTCAGAACCCAGCCTAACATCCAATTTAGCTCTGTTGAGGCCCCCCCAGCTGCAGAGGACACCTTTCAAATTCTCCATTAGAGGGACAAAGCTAACATCTTACCTATCCCCAAAGACAAGGTAGAGAGAATCCAGATAGCTATTTTAAAGAAATAGCCAGACCTTCCTCTCCAAATGTCCTTTCTTCTCTCTGATCCCTTTGTGTATCTGTGAGCTGGTAAAGGGCCTGAGTTGCAGAATGAGGGGGACACATTGTTTAATTTATGGGTTATTTGCCATTTTTAGCCACAACCAAAAAGAGTCTGCTACAATATGTGAAAGTGTAGCTTCCTGCTGCCGGGATATGTTACTCTTGTCTGCATTTTTAAATTTGTCAGTTTAAGCCTCAAGTTAGCACTACAAATGATCCCAACACCTCCCTTTTGTTTGCTTAGGGTGATTTGGAGTTTATTGATCCTATCGATCATCTTCTGGCTGATCTTCGACACCGCCAAATTGGGCCAACAGCAGCTGGTGTCCTTTGGTGGACTCATAATGTACATTATCCTGTTGTTTATATTTTCCAAGTACCCAACCAGAGTAAGTATGAAATTGGTTGGACTTTCTGTTTTGTTTTGTTTTCCCTCCCCAGGTGAAAAATATGATCAAAATAATGATCATAAAAGAATTTAACTATTCAATATTTTTCTTAATTTTCTGTAATTTAAGTGGTTAAGTTGCCCTTCTTCTGGAAATTTCAAAGTACTGTCTATTACTATCTCATTCCATTCTCAGTAATTTCCAGTTACACAACCAGTGGGACATTCTCTCCTTGTCAAATCCTATTTCTACTCATGTACACCCTGCCTCTATCCAACATACATACGGAGAAAATCACATTCATTTTGATCTCAGTTTTCCAAGACTACAAATTACTTAATAGTTTGCACTTGATCCTGCACTTAATCAAATTCTATTTGCAATTCAGGCTTTCTACTCCAAAAAAAAAAAATTGTCCTTATACTGTTTTTCCCCCAATTGAATCCAGTCCTCATCCTTGTCTGTCAGCCTGTAATTCATGAAATGGGCAAGAATTCTGAGACGGGCTGGGGATGTGGCTCAAGCGGTAGCACGCTCCCCTGACATGTGTGCGGCCCGGGTTCTATCCTCAGCACCACATACAAACAAAGATGTTGTGTCCGCCGAAAATCAAAAAATAAATATTAAAAAAAAAAGAATTCTGAGACCTAGAAGCTCTCACATATGAATCATGATGGCAAGCCCTGGAAGAATTTTCTGACTAAAAGATTGACCCAAGGAAAAAGCATTAATCTGAGGCCAAGTTCACCTGATATGATCCAAATCACTTGGCCTGTTTGGGTAAGCATCTCCACTGACTGGGCCTTTGCTCCCATAGATCTTTTCAGAGCTCATTTCCCCACCAAAAAATGAAAACAGATGATTGCTATTTCTGCTGCACATCCTACATCTGCATTACAGGTTATTGGTTCATTTTATAGCGAAATAAGAGCCCCTCAATAGGGTAGAATTTCATTTAATTCACTTATAAAATTGTCAGATCAACAAACCTCAGACATACTGAGAAATCATGTTCTGCCTTTCAATTTTCCAGGCAGGAGAAGTAATTATATTTGTCTAATACTTACAGTAAGACTAGAACAGCCAGGTCCTTCCTCCTTTAATGACACTTCTTAGACTACTCTTTGTGTCTAAGTTACTTATCAGAACTTAGTGGTTACTCACCAGCACTAAAGACTTGAAACCCAGGTTTAAGGAGAGGAAATGCAATCTTAAGCTTTTGAAGCTATGGTTCTATCAAAAGACCCTCTGCTCATGGCTCCTCAGGCCTCCCAAAGAAGAAATCAGTGATTCTTTTGATGTTTATGCTAACGTCAGCATTAACTTTCTAATAAGATAATATCTCTGTCATTCTGCATAGGTTTACTGGAGACTTGTCTTTTGGGGAATTGGGTTACAATTTCTTCTTGGACTGTTAATTCTAAGGACTAATCCTGGATTTATTGCTTTCAATTGGTTGGGCACACAAGTTCAGGTAAGTGTTTCAAAAGAATACTTTACATTTAAGATGCTTTTAACATTTGGATGTAATCCTTGAGGCATCTCAGAAATAGGTTTATAAGTCTGTAATATTTGACCCAGATTTTAATTCCATAGTGTGAATCAGACAAATACCTGTTTGTGTGGAATACATTAATCTGTCTAGTTAATTATGATTACTGCTGTCCTTACCTATATTCTCTACTGCATCCATCCCCTTTCCCTGTTCCCCCATCACCTTGCCCATAGGGATGTCACCCTTATAAGCTGGTTTCTAAACAGAGAAATGAGCTTCCTTTGCATCCAGTAGTAACAAGTGGCACCTGTGTACTATCTCTGGCTTGCTAGAGCAAATTACCACACTCAGCTAGTTCTTTAGCATCCTAGAGTCAGACTTAATGTCAGATATGACAGAAAATCTTTATGCAGACATAATTTAAAAATACAGCTCTATGCCATTCATTGGACATGGTTCTCATCCTCTGCAGAGCCTAGTGATACGATGGCTTGTAACGACCATTTCAGTGGTTTTAATGATCTCTTTTTCTTTCTCAAATCAGATTTTTCTGGGTTACACTGATGCTGGTGCTAAATTTGTCTTTGGTGAAAAATACACAGACCACTTCTTTGCATTTAAGGTAAATCTGAACTTTTTCCATGTACTTCCTGTCTTGTCAGTAGCTTCTCAATCTTTGTAGATGTTCAGATAAAACCTAACTGACCAAACACCAGGTATATAATTGCTGGGCTTGTTTTAGGTATGCAACACATCACCAGCCTTTTGCATTTGCAGTGTTATCTGAAGTCAGAGGATTGCACACATTTCACCAGGTTACTTCTGTATAGCATTAAGGGAAATATCTAGGGGAAGTCACAAATATCCAAATGTTGGAAGTTGGGGGGTGGTCTTGGCTGAGGTATTTATGAAGAATCCTATGGGGTGATAGTATCTTGAACTTCAGATTCAGGAGAAAGAAATTTATGCAATCAGCAATGAGTGGGCATATGGCCCCCAATGGCTTCCAGGTAACAGCTCTGCACTCTGCACTCCTCAGTCACAGGCAGTTTGGGACAGCTGCTCAAGCACATTAACCCGTGTTCTTCCAGAGCCATCCCCAGGCTTCACCTTTTTCATCTTTGCTCCGGTACAACCTTTATTGAAGCAATCTTGATGGATTGGCATTCTGCTAATCAACAGAGAGACAGCCTGGCCTCTGCCTAGGCACAGTCAATTCCCTCTTGGGGTTCCCACAAGCATCAGAAAATTCACCCTCTTCTGGCAAGTCCCTGCAAATATTGAGTCAGAAAGTTATATTTGGGCTTTTCTTCAGCTTTCTCTCTTGTGGTGTTAATGTTCATACATTTTCTCCCTTAGAGATTCCAAATTTTCCTCTAAATTACTCCATTCAGCTAGGCAAATTTTTATGCTAGATCTTTTTTTTTTTTTTTTTTTTTTTTTTTGGTACCAAGGATTGAACTCAGGGGCACTTAACCACTTAACCACTAAGATACATCTCCAGCCCTTTTCATTTTTATTTCGAAATAGGGTCTCACTAGTTGCTTAAGGCCTTAATAAGTTGCTGAGGCTGGCTTTGAACTTGCCATCTTCTTGATTCAGCCTCCTGAGTAGCTGGGATTATAGGTGTATGCCACTGCACCCCACACTGGATTTTTAAAATATACTTTTAATTTTTATTTATTTTATTTATTAATTTTTTGGTGGTGCTGGGGATTAAACCCAGGGCCTTGTGCATGCGAGGCAAGCACTCTACCAACTGAGCTATATCCCCAGCCCTACTTCTAATTTTTATTGACACATAATAATTGTCCATATTCATGGGGTGTGACATTTTAATACATGTATAAATGTACAATGATCAGATCAAGGTCTGAATCTTCTCTAAAGCTGCTGACCTGATGCTTTGGTGTTGAGATAACTAAGCCTTATCTGAGAAGGGTCAAGCATTTATAGAGTGAGATAGAAAGATGCTTATATCGTGAAATGAATTGAGAATTGGAAAAAGAATAAAACCACAGGAAGGAGTAACTTGCTATACAGATAATAAGGGTGCTTCAGACCTTGTCTTTTCCTCTCTTGCCCCAGGGCAGTGGCCTTTCTGCTTTCCTGCCAACTCAGAATCCCTGGATGAGCCCCTTTAACTCCTTCAGGCTTTCAGGAAAGTTCTGCCTACCCATTAAAACCAATAAGAGGCTCATAGTGAGCTCTGATACTGGCATAAAATGTATTTTAGTATATATAATTAATAGATTTTTCTAAATTAGATCTTGTACAAATTGTCCTTGGTCATTCTGTGTCTCTGGTAGCAGATCATCTGGCCATTTAGCTGGGGGAATAGTGGGGAATTGTTGAGGTGGAGTGGGGCTGAGTAGAGACCTGGCCCACAGCTGTGTGTGGTCTATGTAGGTGGAAACTGCTCCCTGTAGAAACACAGGCTGCAGGTTCCAAAAGAGCAACAGAGAAATAGGATCTAGCCAGTTACATCCTTCTTTAACACAGGACTAACCTGGTCTTCAAAATGTCACCACTTTAGTGATTCAAAAATCTATAGGTAAAATAATTTTTATTTCTAAAGCTAAAAGAATTAATGCATACTCCATGGGAGGCACTGTGTGTAAGTATCAACCATGAATTATCTGAACCGCACAGCTGCTACAAATAAGGATCTGAAGTGCCTCACGATTCATCTTGACCCAGGTTACTCTGCTAATTAGGGATGAAGCTCATGTCTTTTTAATATCAGGACAATGAGAATATTTTCCAGTGGCCTTCAGTTTGTGGCTCTAGCTATCAAAATTCCCCCGCCCAAATAGTATTTTTTCTCTAAGAAAACCTCATCATAGAAGGGGGTAGGTCGGAGCTGAGGTTGTGGCTCAGTGGTAGAGTGCTCACCTGGCGTGCATGAGGCACTGGGTTTGATCCTCAGCATCACATAAAAATAAAATAAAGATATTGTGTCCACCTAAAACTAAAAATAAAATAAAATAAGAAGGGGAGAGGTCACATTTTCTATGAAATATACTTGTTGAGCCTTCTTTCTTCTGTTACAACAATATCTGAAACTGGATAATTATTATAAAGAATTAAGGTTTATTTAGAGTACAAATTTAAGGTGGGGGCAGTCTAATTCCAACAAGCTGGCATTGATCAGGACCTTCTTGGTCCTCATAACATGGCAGAGGGCATCAGATGGTGAGCCAGGGCAAGTGAACGCTCTCAGATCTCTTTTCTCTTCTAATAAAGCCACTACTGCCACTATGGGGGCCCCACCTTCACGCCCTCATCTAATCCTAATTATTTCCCAAAAACCCCACCTCCAAGTGCCATTAACATATGAATCTGGGTATTAAGTTTCCAACACCTGAACTTTCAGGGGACATAGTCAAATCAATTTGACACTCAAGCCTATCTAGAAGAAATTAGAATAAGGGACTTAGAGAGGGAAGCTGCCTGGTAAAAAGGGTTGTCAGTTCAAGAGGCGTTTCCAGCATTGTTATGGTGTCTCTGATGGAGACAGGAGGCAGAGAGGGGACCTAATAGTAAACCTGCAATATTATTGGGGTCACCACTGACCCATAACTAACTCTGTTCCCCCATCCCCAGGTCTTGCCAATTGTGATTTTCTTCAGCACTGTGATGTCCATGTTATACTACATGGGATTGATGCAGTGGATCATCAGAAAGGTACTGGGATTGGGACATACAAGGTGACAGGTGCAGAGTTGATTATTTCAGGTACAAAGTCTTAAATGCCTTTTATCCAGGCATTTCCAAAGTGCCTTTCTCTTCCTACAAATATTCACCTCCATCACCAAAGTTATTACATTGAAACGCCAAATCCTGCACGTGCCCATAAGAGGAATTTTATCTCAGGGTCTTCTAATAGGGCTTTGATTTATAATCCACTGGATAACTCCATGAAACCATAGCAGTTACGTCTTTAACCAAGCAATTGAGGTCAAATACCTGCCACGGGGAAGTGGTGTTGATCTCTCCTCACAGTTACCTACACTAGGCCTCATACATACTTGTCTTTAGAAAGTTACCAAAGTAGGTATGCCTCATCTTAGAGTTGCTAGAGAAATTAAAGCAGGAAAGTGAAGTGTTTTTTACTCTGGTGGTGGGGCAGTTTTATAAGCACACATTTTTTTTTTTAAAGAAGAGTTAATCTCATTCGTGCTGCTCCAGTAATTGAGTTCTACTCTCATGTCAGATCAGAAAACTAGATATTTGTAAGCTAGTTTGGATGCATATGGAAGCAGACCAGTGCACACAGGCCTTGAGGGACAACCACAGCCTTCCTTTGATTCCTGTAAATAAATCAAAATATATAACCAGAAAGAGAAAAGATAGGAGAAAGAGAGAAAGAAAGAATAAGAAAACCAGCAGAATTTGCAATCACAGTGAGCTCCAGTACTCATAATTTCCTGATTATTGGTTTATATATTCAGAATTACTGCACTCACATTTAGAATCCAAATTTTTAAAATTCTGGTAATAATATTATTTGATGATAATATGTATCTGCTTAGAATCTTTGGAAAATGCATAGGACTAATTGCCTTTTTAAAAAGAAAAAAAAAGGATAGGGATGCAGCTCAATGGCAGAAGCCCTGCTTAACATCACAAGGCCATGAGTTCAATCACCAGAACCAAAATAAAGCAATTTTTAAAAATAAGAAAGTATATAGAGCTTGTGTGAAATAATCTCACAGAGAAAGAGAGAGAAAGCCTTAAAAACAAATACAAATATGTTAAAAAATGATCATAAGAGTCTTTGTTGTATCATAAATGCATGTAGATAATGTTATATATAACTGTCAATGAAGTTATACATCATTTTACATCTTGCTTTTCCAACCACTATTCAATGTAGCCATTTTCCCATGCTAATAAATAATATCAAAAAGTAAATGTTTTTTAAAAAAGAATTACCGTACTCATATAGCTAAGTGGAAAGAAAGGAAATAGAATTCAACAGGAAGTCAGCATCCTGAGATAGGTATCATGGTCACTGGTTGAAAGGTTTATTAGTCACCTTTCCATTACTATGATAAATATCTGAGATAATCAACTTCTATAGAAGAAAGGTTTATTTAGACTCACAGTTTTGGAAGTTTTGGTCCATGATTGATTTGCCTTGCTGCTTTGGGGCAGGGAATGCCTGCTCACCTGATGACCAGAATGTGAAAAGGGAAAGGAATTGACTGAGATTCCACAATATCTCCTAGTGGCAGTGACCTAAGATCTCCCGCCAGGCATGGCCTTTTACAGTTTTCACCACCAGTTGATAGTGATACAGTCTGGAGACTAAGCCTTTAACACATGGGGCTTTGGGGGACTTTTCAGATTCAAATTATGACAAAAGGCCAGTACAAACAGTAGATCCATAAACCACGTTCACTGTTTAATCTCACTGTTTAATAGTTGACAAAACCACTTTCTATGACAAAACAACTACTCTGTACTTTGGTTTCCTCTTCTGTAAAATGGGCATAATATATAGGACATACTTCAGAGAGTAAAGATTCAATGTGTTGCACAGGTCAAGGGCTTACAACAGTGCCTGGAATGCAGAAAAGCCTACCATAAGTGTTAACAATTATCACTTATTACTTTTATAAAGCATATCTGTAGAAATCATTTGTCTAATGTTCAAAAGTCTATACAATGACTCAGACTTACCACCCTTACAGGAGGATTTGATCAGCCTGCTCTATGGGCTAGATGGTTTATACATACATTTATCACCATCACCAACCTGCCCATGATTATTGAAGGCCTCAATATTTTACTCCAGTTCAAAGACTTTACCCCACTTTGAATTTTGTTATATACACACAGTTCATCACTGACTTTGTCCCTTTCTTCCTTTTAGGTCGGATGGATAATGCTTGTTACTATGGGCTCATCTCCTATTGAGTCTCTAGTTGCTGCTGGCAATATATTTGTTGGACAAGTAAGTTGCAATACCAAGAAAGCAAGCAATACAAGACATCTACTAAATGGATAGTCTCTTTCTGAAACACAGAATAGGAAAATACCATGGTATTGTCATTTCTTTTAGTGTGGAGAAAAAGATGTAATAAGGAACCCTTAATTTTGGCAATGTCCAGATTCCAGAAAGAAAGAAAGAAAGATACCTCCGAAGTGTTTAGATACACTGGTATGGAATTGGGTTCCTGTAAGTTGTGAAGAAAACAAAAGTCGAGGTATTTTATTAAAGCATAGGGCTTCTCATATACAAATTCTCTCTACAGTCTTTTCTGAGTTCATTGAATTGTTGAGGTTTCTGGTTGACTCTTCAGAAACAAGCAGCTCATCTCCTCAAATGGATTTCACTATCTTAAAGCTGCAAACATGTAAGAAACTTGTATTCTACACTGCAATGCCTGTGGCAGTAAAGAAAACCAACAAAGGCCTTTTGCCAACAACCATGCAGCTGTATAAATAATTCTCATTCTCAACTTGTCCAAACTAGCCAACATTCTGTCTTTGCTGAGCATGAGTATAAAATGCCTTTATGTTTTTTTCCTTCTCATTAAAGATATACTTTTAGGCTACAAATTTCAGTTCCTTGATTCATCACAGGGATAAATGCTCTTTTGCCTAAAGTCCATTTAAGCAAAGAAATTTGATGCCAAGGATGTCCCTCAAAATAGCAGTATTCCTAAGAGGTGGAAAAGTGAGGAATGGTAATAAGCTACTCATCCCTCAGGATATATAGCTTCAGGGAGAATGGAATAATGCACCAATGAAGCCAAGGGTGAATATTGGCCAGAACCACTGTCCAGAGAAATTGGACTTGAAGCGAAAATGGAGTCACCCAGTGAAACACAGCTCCAAATGCCAGGCTTCCTACTGCTCCAATTCCTTCAAGCAGATTGAGCCTTCTTGGTAAGCCCAGCTCACCAGCCTGGAGCTCTTTAATGGAGATAGATGAAACATACTTCCTTCCCCTGTAAGTTGAAATTAGAATAATTACAGTCATAAAATATCTTAGGACTAATTAGGGCACCATCTTGAGTTGATTGCTACTACCTGCAGGATAAGAAGGCTCACGTATTTGGACTACTATTTAGTCTATAAACTGAGGCTCAATGCATTCAATCTTATATAACAATTAGAAATAATAAGGAGAAAATTGTAAAATTGCACCCATGCTCCTATAGTACTTAATTTGATACTTAATATGCTGAAAGTCCAGCTATTATTGATGGAGAGCCCTACAGGGCAGGCAGGCTGTCTTCCTTAATGAGATTTGAGTCTTTATAACTATACTCTGTCCAGTTCCTTTCTCCCATCAGAGAGGGATCCTCTGAGTTTCAATTACGAAAGTGCCTAAGGGCACCTGTCTTTGTAATTGCTGGTATTTTTTTTAATACACCTGTCTCTATTTTCCTGAAGTCTTCAGAAACAGGTCGAGTCTGTGTAGATGAAACTAAATGGTGAAAAGTCACAGCCCACAAGAAATCCCCAGTCCATGAGCCAGACCACTGGGCAGTTACTTGGTCAGCCCTTAGTAATGTACTCCAAGTCCTCATAGAATCCAGTCCTAGGCTAGGTGGAGGCACCCTATAACTAGCTTCAAAAATGTCAGGGTTTACCCATGACTGTATATGACAATGACCTAGAGCTCAGATTACGCAGACATTCTCAAACTTGAGCATGCCTCATAATTACTTGGAAGACTTGTAAAAACACAAATTGCTGGCCCTACCCACAGTGTTTCTGATTCCATAAGTCAGAGAATTTGAATTTCTAACAATTCTCAAGTGATGCTGATAGAGTTGGCTGACTCTTAGAAACATGGATTTATATTGAAATGTGGTGCTGATTACACACCTCCTCTAAGATTTTAAAGGTCACATTTAATCCAGTTACCCTTCTCTTTCTTCAGACAGAGTCTCCATTGCTGGTCCGACCATATTTACCATATATCACCAAGTCAGAACTCCATGCCATCATGACTGCTGGCTTCGCTACAATTGCTGGAAGCGTCTTGGGTGCATACATTTCTTTTGGAGTAAGACTGTTTTGGAATTAACTTATGCAAACTTCAACCTCTTCTTTATTTGCTGTTGTTATTCATTTATTTTTTTCCTTTCTTTTTTCTTTTCTTACTCTTCTTTTCTTTCCCATTGCCAGTATAAAAGGAGGCCAAGAGAGTGTCTTTTTTGTAGTATGGCAAAAGTTGGTCAGTTTTCTTTGGCATTTGAATGTAGTGACCCCAAGGAGTTTGGGGTCTTCACTTTCATGTTCTTGCCACCTAAATGTGAACTATTTCCAACCACAGCAATAGAAATCATATGATGAGGTTACTTTGACTGTTTTTTAAAAAATTAAAAACTATTACTACTACTAATAAAGATTTTAACAGGGGTCAGCCAACTATGGACCACTGGCCAAATTCAGAGCATAACTTGTTTTTGTAAATAAAGTTTTATTAGAAACAAGGTACTCCTATTTATTTGTCTGTGGCATAGTTGTGGCCTGCAAAACCACAATTATCTACTCTATGACCTTTTCAAAACAGATTTTTGGAAACTTGACCTACAGCATTATTCTCAAACCTTACTGCACATTAGAATCACCTATAAATTTTCAAAGACCCTAATTCCCAGGCCCATAGCCCACTTTTATGTAAAATTTTTTGGTATTTACTAGTATTTTTAAAACTTCTCAGATTTCAACTAAAAGCCATGTTTGAGCTGGTGGCCTACGGTGTAGGTCTGGAGAATGCTGTGATAGCCAATATTGTGCTCTGTGCATAGGCTGATAAGCCACACATTAATTTGATACTTAATATGCTGAAAGTCCAGCTATTATTGCTGGAGAGCCCTACAGGGCAGGCAGGCTGTCTTCCTTAATGAGATTTGAGTCTTTATAACTATACTCTGTCCAGTTCCTTTCTCCCATCAGAGAGGGATCCTCTGAGTTTCAATTACGAAAGTGCCTAAGGGCACCTGTCTTTGTAATTGCTGGTATTTTTTTTAATACACCTGTCTCTATTTTCCTGAAGTCAGAGAAACCTAATCGTACAGGCAACACTCTGTGATTCAGGAGACTAGGATCTATTGCAAGACAAGTGAGTTTCATTCCAGGTTCTTCATTCAAGCTGGGGACAGCCAACTAGTAGAAAGAAGGAAGAAGAAAAAAGTGAAGGATATATTAGAGATAAGCAATATGAATGGATCCCTAGATTATTCACTCTGCCCCTACTGTGGGAATGCTGCCTTTAAAAATGGGCTAGGTCAGCTATCCCATTCCTTGGTATTTATCTTAAAGAACTGAAATCAGCATATTATAGTGCTACATGCATACAATGTTTATGGCAGTACAATTCACAATAGCCAAGTTATAGAACCATCCTGGGTACGCATCAACAGATGATATATATATATATATATATATATATATATATATATATATATATATATATATATATCACTCACAATGGAGTTCTACTCAGCCATAAAGAAAAATGAAATTGTGTAATTTGCTGGTAAATGTATGAAACTGGAGAATATCATGATAAGTGAAATAAGTCAGACTCAGAAAGTCAAGGATTGAATGTTTTCTTTCATATGTGGAAGATACAGAGAAAATAAATCAATAAATAAGGCTCTCATGAAAATGAAGAGAGACCAAAGGAATAGAGGGCAAGGGAAGTAAAGGGCAAGGGAAGGTACTAGGGAATGATGTCAAATTATGTCATGTCCATCTACAAGTACCACAATGAAACCCACTTTATGTATGATTATAGTGCACTAATTTAAAAATAATAACAATAGAAGGAAGACCTGTAGAGTAGATGGAGGGGATGGGGGAGGAAGAGGATCAGGGGGAGGAAGAAATGGAGGGAAAGGAGAGGTTTTGGGGAATGAGACTGATCATCATGTTATGTGCATGTGCAAACATATCACAATGAATCCCACTTTTATGTAAAAATTTAATGCACAAAAAACTTTTAAAAATGAAACTCCATCTTTAACTTGAAAATAATGGGATAGGTGTTATAGGAATGCAGAGGGAGACACTGGATATGGGATTCTCAAAATGTAGGGAAGAGAATCCAGAAGCAATGTCAAGTATGTGGAGTGGGAAGGAGAAAGAGTAAACTTGTCACAAGGAAAACAGAAATAATTTACAGAATCAAAGGGACTCTGGATAAAAGCATATTGTGTAAAGACACAAAGGATTCCAGGAGAGCAAAAGGAAGGTGGAGAGGGGAAATATCATGCCTTTACATAGATTAGGAATCCTGTCTCCATGCCAGTCCACCCCAGATAACCCATCTAAATTGATGATGAAATGAAATATAGGCTATAGGGACTATATGTCATTTAAAAAGATAACATAGAGGCTAAGGAGTCTTCTTTGAGAGTTCTTAAAATTCACTATTACTTATCTTCTGAAATGATCAGATTTGGGCTTTGTGCTTTTCCTTCAAGAATGTGGCCAATTAACTTGAATCTCTTCTTTGTCCCTCTGACTCTCAGGGTGATGTCATGGCTTGGCTCATGGACAAAAGTTGCTCTTCCAAACCTCCAAAGAAGCATTGCTTTTTGGCATAGAATTGACTCCTGTTCCATCTCTTCCCTATAAGGCTTTTGAGTCACTTTTCTGAATACAAGAATAAAGCTCAGCTTGTTTGCTTGCTTTCTTCTGAAATTGCAGGTTTCATCCACCCACTTATTAACAGCATCAGTTATGTCAGCACCTGCATCATTGGCTGTTGCTAAACTCTTTTGGCCTGAGACAGAAAAACCTAAAGTAACCCTCAAGAATGCCATGAAAATGGAAAATGGGTAAGTGGGACATGTTACCTAATCAATGACTGCGTTAGTCAGTTTTTCATTTGCTATCATCAAAATACCTGACAAGAACAACTTAGAAGAGGAAAAGTTTATTTTGGCTCACAGTTTCAGAAGATTCAGTCCATGGTCAGCTGACTCCAAGGCAGAAACATCATGGCGGAAGGGCATAGTGGAAGAAAGCTGCTCAGCTCATGACAGTAGGGAAAATAGAGAAGAGAGGAAGGGCTCAGGACTAGATAAGTCTTTCTGGGGCACACCCCCAGTGACCTATTTCTTCCAACTAGGTCCCACCTTCCTGTGGTCCATTCAGCTATCAATGGTGCAATCCAGCAAACACCTTATTGTATTAGGGATTATGCTTCCAACTCATGAGCCTTTGGGGACATTCCAGATCCAAACCATAACAATGACTACACAAGTTGGAGCATGAAAGTCCAAATTCAAAACAGCAAAAATTTGATAGAGAGAAAGCACAGAGTGGATTATGATATTAAAGTAGATTTAATTTCTTGTAATTAGACTTTACCAAAAAACATCTTTCTCAACACTTCAGGAAAACCTTTCTAAATACCTGAATTTCAATACGTTTCTTTAACTGTTCATCATAAATATATCTTATTGTAAATACAGCATAGTGTTCATTGAGCTTTTGTTTAAAGGTGTTAGAAAGCCATAGGATGAGCATTTCTGGAGTTGCTTTATATAACAAGAAAGTTCATCTTCTTTTTTCCTGTGAAAAAGAAAGAAAAAGGGGTGGGAAAAACTATAAGATTTTAAATGTTCAAAAGTATTTCATTAAACAATGATTCATAGACCATGATGTGTCTAAGAGTCATCCCTTATTTGTAGGGAAATCAGGTCATATCGTGAGTGGAAAAGCAAAGTTACTGAAGAATACAGTAAAGGTTAAGCATTCCTAATCAAAAATTATAAAATCCAAAATCTAAAACTTTTGACACTAAAGGGAAAAATTCCATACCATTGAACTTTGTCTCATGCACAAAATTGTTTAAAATATAACATAAAAACTTTAAGTCCATGTGTATAAGGTATATGTGAAACATAAATTAATTTTTTATTTAGACTTGGGTCTTATCCCCAAGGTATCTCATTATGTATATGCAAATATTCCAAAATCCAAAACACATTTGGTCCCAAACATTTTGGATAAGAGATATTCAACCTGTAGAATGATTTCACTTATGAAGTTAGCAAGCATGCATATCTGTAGGATGTATCATTTAGAGATAAAGCAAGTGGGAAAATTGTAAAGAAAGGGAATGATAAACAATATTGAGGGAGGCGGGAACCTCTGAGATTAGAAGAGTAGGGAGGGGATAAGATTACACACTGAGGAATTCATAGGCATACCAAAGTACCTGACAAGAGCAACTTAGAGAAGGAAAGCATTATTTTGGGTTCATGGTTTCAGACACTTAGTCCATGGTCAGCAGACTCTATTGCTCTGGACCCAAGTTGGGGCAGAACATCATGGCAGAAGGGCTGGTGGAGGAAAAACATTCAGCTCATGGCATCCAGGAAATAGAGACACTAGTGACAACCTATTTTCCCCAAGGGTATGCCTCCAGCAACCTACTTCCTCCAGATACTACCAACCCACCTACAGTGACCACCCAGTAGTCCATTCAACTTATTAATCCATCAAATGGATTAAACCACTGATGAGGTTACAACTCTCATAATCTAATCGCTTCACCTCTGAACATTCCAGCATTAACACATGAGCTTTTCAGGCCACATCTTGGATCCAAACCATAACAAAAGGTGATGGGACATTCCATTTCTTAAATGAGGTGACAGCTATACAGGCCTTCTAAGATTATGACTCTTTATACCATGAATATTTTATAAATATTGTCTGATAGCTACTTTCAATTAAAAATTCTAAACCTCTACTTTTTAATCATTTTCCAATTTTTATTATAAATGCCCCAAATTTAAAAAGCAATATTGAGGCTGGAGGTGTAGCTCAATGATTGCACAAGTGTTTAGCATGTGTGAGGCCCTGAGTTCAATCTCCAGCATCATGAAAAAACAATATTAAAAAGGATAATGGTTAGATGCAATATGCTCACCACCTATATTCAACATCATGATTTCATGGGATTCAGATGAATATTTTGACCAAGGTAGAGATCTAAATGTTTGCCTCTCACTCAAATGAGGTCTGTTTCTGCCATTTCTGCATCTGTGGTAACTCTGGAATTGCTATCTTTTTATAAAGTGATTCAAGGAATCTCCTAGAAGCTGCAACACAGGGAGCATCCTCATCTATCCCTCTGGTGGCAAACATCACTGTGAATCTGATTGCCTTCTTGGCCCTGTTATCTTTTGTGAATTCAGCCCTGTCCTGGTTTGGAAACATGTTTGATTACCCACAGCTGAGTTTCGAGGTATAATTCCATCATGCTTCTGCTTTCTGTTTTGTTTCTATCCTTGTTTAAGTTTGTGTACAGCCTTCCCAAACTACCCAGGATGTACTCTCACAAACTGCAGAAGCTCCTCAGAGGGCTTCCCCCATCTTCCCAAACTCACTCTCTCCCACTACCCTCCTTCCTCCAGACAGTCATTTGCTCCTGACTCCACCCCCAATATTCCAGGTTGCTTCAAAGGACCCAATTCCAGCCTTGACTCCTGTCTTAGTCTGCTTTCTGTTACAATAACAGATGCCTGTCTGGGTAATTTATAAAGAAAAGAGTATATTTTATCTCACCGTTCTGAAGGCTAGAAATCCAAGGTCAAGTGGCTGCATCTGTCCAACTTCTAGTGAGGGCTATTGTTTGTACCCTGTATAGTAGAAACATAGAAAGGGCAAATGGGCATGTGCAGAGAGGGAGAGGAGAGACAAAAGAGCTCACCCACTTTATAACAACATACTCTCTAGAGTACTACTATATACCAGAAAAAACTAATCCAGTCTCTCTTGGGAAAGATATTAATTCATCTGATGGGCTCCACCATCTCTCAGCAGCATTACACTGAGGACCAAACCTCAACAGGAGTATTGGTAAGGATGAACCCATATTTAAACCATAACAACTCCTGATATATAATGATGGGAAACAGAATATGAGGTGATATCTTGTGTCTAAAAGAGATAGAGGATTCAGGAACAATCTTGTTGAGAGAATGAGGCAAAAGAACTAGAAGCAAATGCCTGTTCTAACCAAATATATTCTGGTTTTTGCAGCTAATATGCTCCTACATCTTCATGCCCTTTTCCTTCATGATGGGAGTAGACTGGCAAGACAGCTTTATGGTTGGCAGACTCATAGGTTATAAGACATTCTTCAATGAATTTGTGGCTTATGAGCAACTCTCACAATTGATCAATTTGAGGAAACAGGCTGGACCTAAATTTGTGAATGGCACTCAGCAATATATGTCAGTGAGTAAATTCTCTGATTTTTCCGTGTACTTCTTCACCTAAATTCATTTGTCATCTAGTGACTTGTGCCTTTGTGTATCAGACACTATGCCAGGCACTTGAGTTATACCAGAGAACAAAACAAATCAAAAATCCTTAATCTTGTGGAGTTCATAATGTACATGGCACTTCATTATTTTCAACTGTATTGAATTAATCATGTGTGTGTGTTTATGTAGCAGGGAGAGAGAAACACTCATCCATATCAGTGATAGTTTACTTTTGAAGACTGTAGACACAAACCTATAGACACATGAGCTGAGACTGAAACCAATCAGTCAAAAGTATTTATTGAATGCCTTCTATGTGTAATATGTTCCATACCAAGACCAAGTACCGAACAAGTCACTGTTCTGTTAGTTTTGCATCATTGTGGAAAAATACCTGAGATGATTAACTTCTGAGGAGGAAAGTTTTATATTGGCTTATGATTTCAGAGGTTTTAATCCATAGTCTGTTGGTCTCATTGCTTTGGGGCCTGAGTATATCATGACAAAAGTATATTGCTTTGGAGATCTGTTCACCTCATGGGAGCCAAGAAGCAAAAAGAGAGGAAGAGGTGGGGGTTAGGTCCCAATTTCTCCTTCAAAGACATGCCCCCAATGACCTAGATTCCTTCCACAAAACCCCACCTCTTAAAGGCTCTACCATCTCCCAATGGCACCATCAACTGGGGACCAAAACCTTTAACATATGGAACTTTGGGGGTCATTCATGATTCAAATTATAACAGGTCCTACCCTCATGGAGCCCATAGTCTAATGATCACAAAGCCCTCTTCCTTCCAGGGGAAGGAATTTTATGAGCTCTGAGAAACTGCCTAAATGCAAAATGGTGCCTGGCCACCATCAAGAGATGGTAAGATGCATTATTACCATCCAGGGGGATGACAGGGAAGAAAAAACTCAGGTCTATGATCTGAAAACCTTGATTTAAATGCCTCATAATCATGTCAACTTCAGAGCAACAGCCTACAAAGAGATGCTCATGTCTGCCTGGACTTTGGTGGAATGAGGAAATTGGATGAGGCTGTATTTGTAGCTGAATCTCCAACTTCTTACCCCCCAAACAATAGAATTGTCATAGTGGAAACTAAACTATTTCCATTCAGGCAATAGTGAATATTTTTGACCACCACCATTTCTATAACCTACTTGTGGTTAATGTCCCAGGTTCATATTGGGTTTTAAAAGGCAAAGGAGGGAAAGCAGGCTGCCCAAGTATTGATACTGTTCACCCCCAACACCAACACCACCCCTTCCAGCTGCCCAAAGACCAGTCATACTAATTGAATTGTGTCCCACATGTTACACAAGTTAGCAACAGCCTACTCCAGGACCACTGATTACACTTCGAAATCAGGGGCATTTTGACCCACACATCTGATAGGACAGGGGCTTTGTTTCTCACATGTTCTTTCTTCAATGAGCCTCACAGTGAAACTTGACCATTTACTCTCATTATTTGGATGCCACCTAGACCATTGGTTTTCCTGCCAAAAGTAAACAATAAGCTAAATTAAGTGAAATGTTTCCTATCCCCAACTGTCAGTTGCAAGCAGAAAATAGTTTTGCTAATGAGAAAAGTGAGCTGCCAGTTCTGGCAATGCTAAGCAGCTTTGTGAAAAGGCTGTTAAGAAAATGGAGACAGAACTGTAGCACTGATTTGGGTTTGGGGGTGAGCCCAGACAAAGGCAGGCACACAGAGCACATAGTGAGATGTGAGCTCAGTGGCCTCTGTCATTCATTGCTGTCATGATGGGAGCAGCATTT